CACACACACACACACACTTTGCACACTGAGTGTAGTAAAGGACTGCACTCAATTTTTCTTTAAAGCGATAATAAGAACTATAAAAAGCTAACCTTTTTTTTTCGGACACTGCTACGGTACGCTTATTTTGATATAAACTTGATACCAAACTTTCTCCTTAAAATATTTCTCAAGACAGAGATCCAAGCCATTGGATCCGGATTTCTGTTTGTCCACTAACACAGATCGCATTATGCATCAATGGCGACGAAGGCGCGGGGGTGTGTTGATGCGGGGTGGGGAGGGGTGGACACGACTCTCAAGAGGCCACTCCAAACCTTCTCTCTCTCTCTCTCTCTCTCTCTCTCTCTCTCTCTCTCTCTCTCTCTCTCTCTCTCTCTCACGAGGCTGTTCCAGCGATCCTTTCCTTTGTGAGTTACGCTCAAGTGGTCAAAAGAAACCGGCAGCGCGTCATCAAAGAGGCCCTCCAATAATATTGACCCTCACTCTGTTTTTCTGCTGGACATTGAACGCACCTTCAGTGTAAGAAAATATTGGCGTGGAGCTGCAAACGGTTTCCAAAGATTGGATTGGAATAACAATGTTTCATTTAACCCGATTTCCCTGTCTCGGGCGATTAATGGAACCGTCCGCCCGTCAACTAAAGGAGGGAGGGGCAGGGGCGAGGGGTAAGGAGATTTCATTGCTTTGGAAGGACGCGTTCGGTGCTGAAAAGCGACATGGGTCCTGTGCTCTTTTCTTTCTTGGTAGAGGTATGATAAAGTTTGAGTTTCCCCACCCTTTTCCACATTTTAAAGCTATTGATGAGGAGGAGGGGGAGGAGGAGGAGGGAAAAGAAGAAGAAGAAGAAGAAGAAGAAGAAGAAGAAGAAGAAGAAGAAGAAGAAGACGGAGGAGGAGAAGGAGGAGGATGAGGAGGAGGTGGTGGAGCAGGCGGAGCAGGTGGAGCATACGGTGGAGGAGGAGGAGGAGGAGAGGGAAGAGGAAGAGAAGGAGGATATGGAAAAGTAGAAGTAAAAAAATTAATTAGTCTTTTGTGATTCAAACCAGCATCGGCAGCGCCTCGATCGTGCGTGATACCATCTGAGCTGACCATGTGAACTGTCTCAAACTTTGGTTGTTTTGTGCGGTTTTCGACTCATATCACTGGCTTGGTCCTATTTTTAAAAAAAAAATTGTGCATTTTGTTTTACGGCGCTCGCAACTGCATAGGGTCATATGAGCTCGCGGGAAACACCAAACGTTTTCAATCTGTAAGAAATTTTGAATTTTGCTCGTGTAAAGGCCGAAGCGTACTCTTATCGATTTTTGGACCCCAAAGGGATCTTTAACTTGCGCGACCTGCTCACGGGACCTCCGAGATTTTTCGCCCGTGTCCGAGATGGTTAGGTGTAGATATTTCCTACCAGAAGATCAGGGGTGTGGCTGAAAGACACCATTAAGACGGAGCCAAGAGTAGCAGTAGAAAGGCTGCAGAAATGTCAGGAGCCCAGTGGAGGAGGGCAAAGGTGGGGGGAGAAAGTGGAGACGAAAGCAGAGGACAGAATACTGCAAGAGAGAGGGAAAGAAGGTAAAAGGAGACAATTTTAGATAACTAATTTTTTCCGTCGCTACCCGGATTCGAACCCGAGACGTTTGAATGAGAGGCAAACACCTTAACCTCTAGGCCACGAGAGCCCATTTGGTCCTATCGTAGATGAACTGATAGCATTGCAAATGCCGTAAAACTCTTATTTAAACTAAAAGGAAATATAACTTACCACCAAGATGCAGAAACTTCCTTAGCAACAAGCCCTAGGAGTAGGACCACTTCCAAAATGAAGAGTAGATAGCCTGGTGATGATCTCATTCTGTGCACGAGAGTGGTAGTGGGCTTGCATCTCTTGGCTTTAACGGGTGATCACTAGTCATATCTGAAAAAAAAAACCCCACAGAAACAATAATTATAATAAAATCTAGAATATACATCAAATGAATACAGTTGTACTAGAATAGAGAGACCGATCCCGTTGACAGTCAATTATTTAACAGATTATATATGTTATTATTTCTATTAGTGTTTTACATGGTGTGTGTGTGTGTGTGTGTGTGTGTGTGTGTGTGTGTGTGTGCGTAAGTGTGTAAGTGTGAGTATTTGCTTTTATGTCTCTTGAATTTTTCGAACCAGTCGGCCTGTCATTCTCATGACAACGTAATAAATGTTCTTTAGCATCTTCTACAAATGCTCTCATCGTTCTTTCGATGTACCACATTTTGTGTACCAACTGATCAGAAAAAATTCGTTAAAAGAATGTTAATTTTTATTATTTTCTTGTTTATGACTCAAGTGACATCAAACTTGACCGAAAGCTAGAACATATATCCAGATTATGTTTTTCCAAAAAAGTAATTACTGTTGCACAACGGAAAGATGATCAATCATTTAGCCCATGTACAGCTGCTCAGTTTAGATGTATCAGAAAATAAAATCTCCCAAATCGACCTGTCCATGATTTCATAGGGAAGGCGGGATAGATATCTGTAACAAACATAATTTTCCAAGCGAAAGGCCTATTTTGTAATGGGCTGCAAATTTTGGAAGTTTTTAGTTCTTAGAAAATAAGATTTGAATTCTAAATGTTGAGTGACACACGGTGGACAGCCTATAAAAACAACGCACTCTTGAAAAAGTTAAGGTGGTCCGTCATTCGATGAATTCTGAACAACATCTCGTCTTACCAAAATTCTGGAGGGGCTTTACACTTTAATTTATTGATGATGAAGGGAGAAAAAAACAGCACCTCCAGCAAGATATGGCTGATCCTCATGAAGCCGAGCTGTTCTTGGAGGGTCAAAAATCATTTTAATTACAAGACAGTCAGTCGGACCGAGCTCAGTCCACTGGACTTCCACCATGGGTTGGGGGGGGGGTGTTTGAAGGACAAAAAACAGTGTGGGAAAACCATCGAAAGTATCCGAGACTTGAGAGAAACTATCACGGGGAGCACAACAAAGATTTCTCTCGAGCAGTATCAACGCATGATTGTCAATATCTCACAGCGTGTCAGAATGTGCTTTATCCGAAATTGGTTGTCTCTGCAAAATGTTTTGTAACTTTGTTTGTGGCAGTCACATTCTATTGTTACTGATGCATAATAAATCCGGATGGATGTTCCACGTTTCTGCAAAGTTGCTGTTTGCAGCTTTATTTATAACGGTTTTATCGGCATTCTTTTGGATGAACTGTTTATCTGGTCCCCCGGTACTTTTTATTTATACATACTTCCCCTTCATTGGTCCTCCAATTCAGTTATACAGGTATCTTTCCGCACGTCCATGGCGTATGAATGTAAGTATGTACGTTTGTACTTATATGCCCTTGGGCACGGATTGACGGACGGATGTATGTTTATATGTCTGTCTTTGTGTATGACTGTGTGTGTATGTGAGAATGTAGGTAGGTAGGTAGGTGCGTAGGTAAGTAGGAAGGTAGGTAGGTAGGCAGGTAGGTATGATTCTATTTACCTAACGGTCTGTCTATCGGCCTATGCTTGTATATATCTACAAAGTTCCACCCCCCCAAAAAAAAAAAACCAAAAAAAAAATTTTTTTAATAAACCGTATCTTTTGCTTAATATCTTTTTGCTCAGAGACAGTGCCTTTTAGTTCATGTTATGTCTAGAATGGACCTCCCTGCAAACAGGCACGATGGCCTGTTTGTTCCTCCTTGATTTGTCTCAAATTGCCCATCAAGACACCAGCCCTTTTATGCCTGTTTATCCCAACCGCTGCCACGAACCGGGGCTCACAGCATGGCACGCAGACCCGTGCGTTCGTCTCTAAATTGAGACAAAGATACAAAACAAAAAGAATTGTCTTGATAATGAAAGGAAATGGATGAAATCGTAAATATGAACAGAATAAAGGCAAAAAAAAAGGAAATTGTTTCTCAAAGAATTAGCCGTACCTTTTGACAACCTAAAGAAAAATCCTAAGGGGAGTATGATCTGTAGTTTTTAGAAGAACAAACCATGACAATTCGGAGTAACTAACCAGAAAAGAATGTTATTGAAAAGTGTGCGAACTGTTTACCAAGCTTAAAGTGTTCTCTGTATAAAGTATCCAAAGGCTGTGCTTTACGGTTTCAATGTGGCTTCACATTCACAGACGTGGGATAATCTCTCCCTGCCCCTATGTCATACATAGAATAAGGTCTGATGCTTGTTGATTTTGTGGTGATGTCGGGTCCAAAAATTAAAATCTTTAAGTTAAGGCTAGGGCTACCACATTGGACACATTGGACAGGATAAATACATTATTTAAAACAGAAAATAACGTTTGTTGTACAGTGCGATTGGTCCTGTATTGGTTCCCTTTTAACGAACGAAAGAGATGCCTTTTAGGCAGTACGCCTACATAGCTAGGTTATCCTATTTTCAGCACTACCATCACCCGTCTCATCTTCCTTTGTCCCCCT